ATTCCCTACAATGAAGGCAAAACAATCCTGGTCATCGTTAATGTATTAATATTGCCTTCTTTAAACTTCTAAATATGTCTCCCAAGCCTGGTGCAATAATTCTCCAAACTTCCCAGGACCAGAATTATACTGTTCCAGATGGGAAGACAGGCTTACCCAGGTTCACTCAGTTCAAGTGGAAAACTGCTCAGTATTTGCGATCTTTTTCAGTCATTTTTGTTGTTTTTAAACGATGCTTGGCAACTAAATGTAATTTAAATGAAGGAAGACTTCATACATTTCATGCAAGTGTTTGGTATTACTTGCCATCAGTCCTTGTGTGACAGTACTGCCTACATATTTTTGGAAAGCACCCGAGGGCTAAATTCACTGTATATTTTGCTTGTGTCATTATAGTAGCACTTGGATAACCACCCATTTGCCTTTCTTTTTGAATTCAATGGACATTAGATCAAACTCTTACAAAGATGCAGTTTCCCATCAGCTAAAATTTTGATTTCTAAATAATGGTATTTGTAACACATGTAATGCCTAGAGTGATTTTATGTCCCACTGCAAAGGGCTGTTCCTCTGTATGAAAAATTGCCAAACTCTTGTCTCAGAAAGGTGGAACCCAGCTGCAATCTCCAGGTACTCATGTTCCTGCTCCTGTAGTGTATTTTCTGCTCTTTTCCAACCCTGCAGCCCATATCACAACCCCTGTTCAGGTTCCATCCTCCCAGTACAACACCTGCAAGAAAATGCACCCTGGCAAGGGGTCTGCAGGAGGCAATCCCTGGAGTTTAGTGGCCTCTGCTCTTCTTCATGGCTGTGAGGACAAGGAGGTCACAACTGAAAAAAAAAACAAAAACAACAAAACTCTGCTTCTGAAGTGGAAGCCAGGATTTGGAGCAGGGTTGTAGCCACGGTGGCCCACAGATCCCTGTGGCTGATCTCCCACTCTGCCGTGGCCGCCTCGTCTCTGCAGGGCTGTGCCTGCTACACAAAATCTCAGGTGATGCTGAATGATAATAAAATAAATGTCTTTATTTTTAATAGATGGATAAAACAGACTCAAAACCAGACAGTATTTTCCTGAATTTCATGGGCACTATTGAATACAATACAAATGAAGTCAAAACATATATATCTATATTATGCTTCCTATCTGCTTTGTTCAGTATAGTGTTAATATAACATTTCTGACACAGACAAAAATATATATATATTTTTAACAAAAGCCACAAATACTGCCCTGATTAACACCAGACTTACAATAAGTTACTAACTGCACATGGTATTTGATCAAATACGCTTGAAGGGCAGAAGGAAAAATGAGCAACTGTTTTTTTTCCTATGATACTTCTATTTGAAATCCTAAATTGTTGTACTATATGAAAATAAATGACTAAATCTGACTTTTACTTTATTTGATCCACTTGAAGTTTACATTCAGTTCAGGTTCACAAAAGTATGTTTTATTTATAATACATATATCATCCCGTATGGACAAATATAGACGAAATTGTAACTTTTTTTGACATTTCAGCTATGTTATTAACCTTGTTTTTATGAACACATCTCATGCAAAGGAGGTAAAAAACCCTGTCAAATAAGTGTTATTCACAAATGTTAGAATATGAAAGTAAAATATATTATCACGATATGAATATTTTATTTAGAAATTGTAGGCTCAGAAACACTAACCTCAGCATCTGAAAATGAGCTGTTTGCTTCACCGATCACAGATCCAATTTAGTGCACAGTATTACTGTCTACAAGTTGCAAAAGTGGAGAAGACACATCTGATGATTCCCATGAAAATAATGTCTACTTGTAGAATCATGTCCTGTTGGCATTATGCTTGTGGAAGTAACTTGGTTCTGAAAAGGTCCCTTTTTTTCTTTTTTCTTTTTTCTTTTTTTTCCCCCAGTACCAATCTTAGATATGGCCTTTGGTTATATGGACAGTTTAGTATAAATTTAATGGTAGGCTAGCTGAACTAAGGCAATAAAACTTGTAAACAGACTTGGCACAGGGTTGTTTAGTTTGGCTTTTGGAGTCTTTCTGTTCACTACTCAGTCCACCACTGCAGCCACGGCAGGTGTTGTTGGACTCATGCAAAGATATGCTCAGAAAATGGGTATGTGGAAAGCAGAGTTATGGTCACACGATGAAGGGTCTTCAGTGTCACTTCTCTCCTTTGCATGATAAAGGTGTGCTACGTGCAAAAGTGCAATAACCTTTCAGTCTCCCCAGAGAGGTCTGGAAAACTTTGTTGGAACCATTTTCCACCAGAGAATGCATAGTTCCACCTAAACAGGGATATATTGTAAAATCACAGCAATTTCACAAAAAAAATTAGATAGCATAAACAGTATAAAATACTGGCTTAAAATGTTTGGACTAATGCATTTTATTTATTCACTTCTTTGAGAATTTTTAAAACTTTTATGTTTTTATGGAAACAAGGGAGTAAAAGGGAGAAAGGAAGATTTTTATTTTTAAAATCAAAACTTCTTAAACAATTCCAGCTGAATCCCATTCTCCTTTCCTTCTCCTCCCACTACTGGGAATTTTGAAATAAATAATACAGACATGTTGCTGTATTCAAAGCATCTGGCCACTATGCAGCTTCTTACAGTGAAATTCTAGCAATTAGACAAAACTGAAGTAAGAGAAATTTTTTTTAGGAAGACCAACAGGTGGCTTTAAAATGAAATCCAGTATCTTAATTTGGAACTGCAGCATAAGGTATAGGCTACATAAGGCTACGTATGCAGGCAAAACCTTGGCTTGACATTTTCTCATAAGGGATCTAGGCTAGTGGATCTGGGCCAGTAATGGGTAATAATTCAGCAGTGACCCTGTCCTCACCTCTCTTCCTTCCATCCAATCTCTTTCCTCTTCACTTTTCTATGGTTCATGGGGAATGAATACCTCTGGGCTTATGTCTGTTTTGTGAGATCCTCAGCACCCTGAATTTCCTCAGTGGCTCATTCACTCACCTTGCAGGAATTTTAAATTTCTTTGCTATATTGACACTTCTGGGCTTTTAGCACAGATCCTGATTTTTATTCCCTCCACTCAGAGCACACTCAGTATTTGTTAGCACAGCAGTAGTGCAGTTCACAATGCATATTCAGAACTGAGATGCAGTCTTATTTTTAAATGCATGTATGGAGAAAAAAAATAAATCATCAACTTTAAAATAATTTTAATCTACATATAAAATATATATATGCTGTTAAAACTTCACAAAAGGAGCAAAAATGCATCTAAGGATTCAACCTCATGAAATTTTATGTCGACATTGAATGCATAAATTGATGGCTTCTTCCTTTAGCAGCAAAAGCTATTCTTACATTTCCTATCTGACGGTACAGCTCCTCGTGCTGTGAATGTTGAAGATATTTTGCCATTGACCAGCAATAGAAGGATATCTGGGTTTCAGCTGAATATTTTGTGTCATGCATAGATATTAAAAAAAAAGTAAAAAAAAATGTTGGAGCACAACTCTTAATTTTACAGAAATCTAGCTATTAGATCTCCCACTGTGAAAGGCACATACCAATGGGGACAGACACAATCATTCCTGGCTGTGGGCAAATGGAAAGGACATTGTGTGTTCCCTGCTGGCCAGGCTGAAGTCAGAATTGGCCTCATCTCCCTGCTTAGCTGCTTCTGGCCAGCATTGCTAGTTATGAGTGAAGCCTCCTCTGTGCCCAGTCTCTGCTGGTGCTCTGCAGAGGCACCGTCACATTAATGAAGGAGTCCAGCATTCAGTGGAAGACACTGCTGTGCCTTTCACTATGCTTGTGGATTCAGCTTTCCTTTCAGTTCTCCTCTGAGCTGCTGCCACTGCTTTTGGAGGTAGACACGGATGTGGAAAGCTGTCCAGCAAGCCTGTTTTTCCCACAGGAAATCATATTTTTGAGAAAAAGTGATTTTCCATGGAAAAACTACACTTTTCAAAGTGATGACAGCAAGTCCAATCCATAAGACTTTTTGATGTCTTTGAGAATACTTTTCTTATTAAGTGAAAAATGGGAATTTTCCCCATGGTAACCCACATCATCTTTTTTTTCAAGCATTCTCAACTCGCCTTACTTTTTAATATTTGTTCCATTGCTGATGTTGCTTGGAGTCAGACTTGCTCAGTGTTCATTTTGATGGTAAGTCAAGATAAGACATCTTTTCTCAACACTAAGTTCTACTTAGTTTATAAGAGTTCTGTCATTTTTCTCAAGTTGAATTTCAACTCAAATTATTGCTTTAAGAATGCTGTCATCCTCCATCCGTGACAGCTGCTAACCACAGCAAAAAAGTAACACCTATTGTAACATAATTCACTGTAGATCATCTTGCATTAGGTATAACATCGTTTTAAACCGGTCATTTCATTTTAACTTTTTTAATTAATATATGATGCTTAGCACTCCTGTAAGGAATTTATTACATTTGCACATTTTGCTGTCTTACACAAATAATAAAATACTAGATTTCTAGCCTTTGAATTTATGAGGAAGAAAGCAACCAGACCAAAAACCCAGGGAAGTTATCTGTCTTTGCTCAAGCAACTAGCTCCTGAGTAATAAATCACTTATAGCTGTAACAATATATTTTCACTTAATGCCAATAAAATGTTGACTGATAGTATTTCAGAATGACTGTATTATAATCTCTTCATACAATGTCCTAGCTAGATAACTGTTGCACTTTTTCTGCTACATATATTTTCAATTGTAAATATTTTTTACTTATACAGTATATAGTTCTGGGTGGAAAGAATGGGATCTGAGTGTGTCTTCTGGTGAACACTCTATGATCTAATCCAACATGTTAGATAATAACAGAAAAGGGTTCCTCCCATGGGGTGCTCCAGCTCCAAGAAACAACTTAAATAATTGTGCAGTGGCATTTTATTCCAAATTCTTGCTCTTCTTTTGATTAAAATGCCTCTTACTATTCTTTGTAGAATATCCTGCTTCACATTACTTTGCCTGTGGCTACCAGATTTTTTAATTATCTTCAGTGTTGGACAGCTCTGGACTCGAATCGACATAATTGAAGGCTTCCTTGTTTGTGAAAGTTGAGCTCAAAGTTAGACTGTGTCGTGGATTCACAGGTGCAAGTTCATTTAATACAATATTATCACTTTTTACAAGAGTTGCTTTGTCCATGTGTTCTCTGCTGTACCTGGCAACAACAGCATCAAGGAAGTCCAGCTTTGGTGGCAAAGTTCCACTCTCGAATAAGTATTTGGCTAAGTAAGAGACTATAATGTTAGTAAAGAAGGAGGTAAGCATAGCAAGTGTTTTAAATGGGAATCGCTGGACATAGATATTATTTTCATCTGGATAGCAGCCAGGGTAGTAGATCAAGGGCTGAAGGTAGAGGTACGGTTCTCCTCCGGTTATTCTGAGAACAAGGCCAAATAAGTACCCTGCAATGGCACCGTAGGTGTTGGTTCCTTTAATGAACAACACACACAGGAGCTGGGGGAATATGATGATATAAACAAGGTCAGAGCTGAGGTACCACAGGCCATACACCGATGAAGCTAGCAGTGCCATTGCTGTTGCTGATGCTCCAAACAGAAAAACAGTGATTCTCATGACCCACACGATCTCCCTGTCTGAAGCCTGCAAAAAAAGGGCAGTGTTAGCTGGTGGTTTTTTCATGGCAGTTCATGTATGCCTACATTTATCAACGTATATAAGATACTACATTGCAAAAGGAAATTTTACAACATATTCAATAATATTTACAAACTAGTATCTCTAACTCCATCTCAAGCACAGAGAAAAAACACCAGGAGTTATGGTTGCCATTCCCAAAGTCATTAATCTTTGAGCATAAGGAAAAGTCTGATAACGTGCCAAACTAAAAAACAACAGCAAAGTGTTAGAAATAACTTTGAAACATAAGCATGACATTGCTAAACCAGAAAAGTGTCAGTGTCAGAACTTCTTCTTCCCCATCTTCTAATAAAAACTCAAACTCATTAGCCCATTCTGTTATCAAACGATTTCCTGATAAATCAGTAATTCATGAAGATGTCTCATTTTATTAAGGATTTATGAAAAACTTACAGTTGCAACAATAATTAGGAGCTGTTGGGATAAACTGCAGTGCCATGAGAACGTTTGAAAGCTGCTTCCACTGAGCTAGCTTTTACACCTCTGTCATCAGCCACATCAATAAGTATTTTTATGACTTTCTGTTTATTCAATATACTGTTAGGAGCAAAATGCTACACTTTTTTCAGTCATAGGCAGGAACGTGAAAGAAGTGGTTCATAATGAAATTAGAATCTATGCATTGCCTAGTTAAGGTCTCACTTAAAATTTTCTCTAAAAATAAAAAAGGAAATGCAATCTCACATTTTGCCGAAAGGAAAGCTGGTAAATGTTCCGAGCAAACATAGAACTTGCTGATAAAATGGAAGAGTCAGCTGATGACATCACAGCAGCAGATACAGCGCCAAGGCCAAAGAATGAGATGTAGACTGGGCAAAGGTACTGGAGCACGATTGGCAAAATCATATCCGCTTCTTTTTTACTCATGGGGTCAGGGACACCATAATCAGTCTCGTTCCAGGCTGCAATATGGACACAAGTACATTATAAGTAAAATTGGAAGTCATCAGCTACAGCATCTCTTGACTTCATGTGTAGTAAGTTATTCATATTGACACATTTTCATTCACATTCAATTACCAAACTGTTGTTAGGCCTGGACCAATGGCATTTCAGAGAGGCAGTGTCCCTCTGGTTTCTGCTAGACAGGCTTAGTTCTGCTCAACATTCTTCCTTATCTCTAAGCTAAGTCTGACCACAGCCTGTGGTAATCCAGTAGGAGGTTTAATTTTAAAACTTTACATTGCTCATAAATGTAATTTTCCTCAATAAACAAGTCTGGGATCCATGTTTGTTTGTGATGTGCTTAATTATGCTCTTGGGTTACTCAGACTCAGAGTTTGAAGCCATGTGTTAAACACTCCTAATAAACATTTCTAATGTAAATGAAATATTACCTTAGAACGGGGATCACTCTCACTATGGAATGAACTTTACAAGGACGTTTTGATCAAGACAGGAAATTCCTGATAAATTTCTACAGTATGTATCTAGCTATTTTGCAGTTATTACTTTTAGGACTAAATAAAGGCACCAGGATCCAACTCAAACATTAAACTGAAATATTACATCTGTAGATACCTACAACATGCAAAGTTAGTTAATCTCAGCCACTGGGGCAGGTGCATAATTTTCCTGAGAGAAACATTCTATAATCTATTTTTTTAGTGTAGTTTCAGATTGAAAAAGTCACGAGCTGATTAATGATGTCACCTGGCTAGATTATATCTAACATAAGCTTTGCAGGACCTTCACATATTTATTTTACTATTCATTTTATAGTTGTTGTATTATTCATTTTCAGTCATTTACCTGTAGATGCTCCAATTGCACCGATGAGTACTGCAGGAAGAGCCATCACAAGACAGCCAAAAGCAGCCAGAAATGACAGGACTTGAGCATATGTGGCAGAAGAGGAGGAGAGAACTCGCTGGAAATATGCTTGCCATGGGATTCCTCCTAATGTCTACAAACACAATGGGCAGCATCACATCATTGGGGGCTAACTGGATTATTTTGCTGTTGCCATATCGAGAGCAAGTAGAAGCATCACTTAAATGCCATGGCATTTGCTACTCTTCGATTTATTTCTTGAATATCAGTAATAGCTGTAGCTTTCATTCTCAAAAGTAATGTTAAACCTTTATTGTCTCCTTAAATCTCACTCCTTTAAAGAAGTTGTTCCTTTATACAATTAGCAACAACACTTTTGCACTTACGTAGTCTCTGTAACCCCTAAGTATTGTGAGCTGCTTAATTACTTTATAAAGCTTTTGGGAAGGTTATATAATACTATTGTCATATTTCATATTTGGAGAATTTGGCCTTCAGTATCCTCCCCCTGTCAAAACTGGATTAGACTCTGGTAGGATTTATCTTCCTTTATGAGTGCTGGTGACCATCTAAACAAGACAACACATTGTGTATACACTGAACTCAAGAATCTGAAAAATTGTTATCCCACTGTCTTAACTAAACATGATACCAATAGAAATTAAAGACAAAGCAGTAAAAGAAAGTTTTATTTTATGGTGGCAATCCTTCTCTTTTTTGAGTGGAGACCTCATCAGACCTAAAATGATGTCTCTAGTATGCAATACAGAAGAGTATTATCCAAGACTAAAAACCAAGCACTAACAGTTCTGTCCTGAGAGCAGGATTTGAATCATCTCCACTAAGTAAGTAAGTGCCTATGACTAAACAGCATGGAAAGAAAACAAAGCAAATTGCTCACTAAATGTGCACAGCACACACATCAAATGAGGCAGCAGGCATTTGGACCAAATAGTGTGTGTGCCACACCACAACACCACAACACCAAATAGGTGTTTCATACATGTTTCATGCACACACAGGGACCAAATTAATGTTTCACAGGTAACTCTGATTTTGACTTGCTCTTTATGAGTGTTTTCCCTTGCAGCTTTAATAATGTTTTTATAATAAAGCTTTCCAAGCCTGTATAAATATATTGAGCTATAATTAAATGAGCAAGATGAAAAGAAAATGTGTCACAATTTGGCAACATCAGAGCTTTCCTCTGGTCATCAGCAGAGAAGAAACCTTCAGGCTGACCAGAGAGAATACAGCCACTTAAGCTAGTGTCATACTCTGGCTCTCTGGGAATGTCTAAAACATGTAAGCTGGAAAAATACCCACATTTTAATTCCTCAATTATCAGAAAACCGAAGACTTTTGGTTGTGATTATTTAAAAGAAAGAAAACCCAAAACAACAACAAAAAAAGAGAAAGGAGTCCCAAACTACAACACGATAATAAAAACAATTTTAGAGTTGCTCAGGGACACTGAGAATGGAAAATTTCAGCATGTGTTGCTAGATCTTCTAATGGAATGTACATAATAACCACCAATCCCATGTGTAATACATGGGTATTAAATAACAAAACCCCTCATTTCATTCTGGCATGTGTGCATATATGAATTCATCCAGGCTTCCATCTATCCATCCATTCATCCATCCATCTCTGCAAAGCTTTTTCTACATCACCTCTACCTAAGGCATATTTAATCATTTGTATAACGTATTTATTGCCTCTGCAATATATAAATTCCTCTGCCAAGAATGACATCAGTTAAGTATTAGCTGCATACTACTAATTAATTTTAGCATAAGTCAACTTTTTCAGCCTGATGATATTTAAATTGCATTCCTGGCAACACCGACTTTGACAGCTGTGCTGTAATATCCTACTGTTGTTTCACTGAAATGATTAAAGTGTGCAGAAATATTGAGCTGGAGTCAAGACAGCAAAAGTTTTCAGATTGCTAGAAGGTCTTAACTAGACTCTATTATTTTCAGCTGTCACAGTAACCCAGTGTGAGTGCTTCAATGCTTCATTCCTTCATACAAGCCACCACTTACCAGTAAAAGGAAATTGTCCAGCCATGTATAAATGTCAAGTGAGTTGACAGAGCCAAGCCAAGGTGCCTGGTGCACCTGGTGCACAGCTGTGAGCCCAATGTCTGTCACTGCAGGGTGGGTCATTGCGAAGGGTACACTGATCCACTGTAATCAAAGAGTAAGACTTTGTTCAGGTTTAAAGAATGCACTCTAAACATGTAAAATAGTAATATTAACGTGGATCTGTTTATCTTCTTGCATGTTACAGAAGAAAGGTAATGTTGCTGATCTGACTTGCAGAAAAGTCAAGTTATGTGCTTTCATCTCTGAAATCCAGATTTTGGCAGTGGATAGCTTCACTCTGTTCTGGAGAGTGTGATTATAAGAGGAGAATTATGCAGTGTAAATTGCAAAATCAGCAGG